TTTTTTTAAAGAAGCAAGTCTGGGAGTCACAAGTACAGGGTCTAGACTCATTTGGAGTGAACAGGAATCTTGGCTGTCACCTCACAAGCTGTAAGACTAACTAAGCTATACAACCCAAGCCTCTTCTGTGATAGGAACCCAGGAGCTGCTGCCTCCTCTGCGATGAGGATGAGCTGGGGCAACAGGGGCAAACTGCTTGCCCACAGGCCTACCTGGGAATGCAGCTTGCAGCCCCAGATTAAGACAATTCCTGCTGTCTGTTCTAAGGCTTATGGGGGAAGGCTGACCACATGAGCTACACTGCTATTGTGTATTGTACTGTAACCAACTCAATGTGGAAACTAGGCAAACTATCCAGATTTTTATTTTCAGAGACCTTAGTTCTTTTCCTTTCAATTCTTTTTCAAGTTAATGACAAAATTATTACAAGCAACATAACCCACCTTGGTAGCAGAGGCATGAAAGGGGAATTTATTCAAAGTTTCTAGACTAGAAAATGCATGTGGAAGCAGGCACTGAGGAACAAATGGAACCCAGATAGTTGCTTTTTCTTTGTGTGTGTAGTACATATGCTTGGATGTATTTGTATGTGTGATGGTGTGCATGCATGTAGAAGACAGAAATCAACTCTCTCACTGAACTTGAGCTAGACTGGCTGATCAGCATGCAGGGATTCTCCCAACTCTGTCTCCCTAGCACTGGGATTAGAAGTGTACACCCCACATCTGGCTATTCTCATGGGTGCTGGGGATCTGAACTCCAACCCTCTTTTGGTTACCTGGGACAGGATTTCACTCTGTAGTCCAGCTTAGCCTATAACTCACTCTGTAGTCCAGGCTGGCTTCAAAGTTGCAGTAACCTTCCTGGCTCTGCTTTCTCCATGCTGGGATTACAGGCATGTATCTGGCTTCTGGTTCCTTTTGATATCACCTTTCTCTCTCTCATGCTGTGACCTGGACTTATCTTATTTGAATGACCTTGGTTAGTCAATAGCTTCCAAATTTTTCAGTTCTGATTGCTCAAATAATTAGACTTGGTTCTTTCCACTGGGAATTGGAAACATGAGATTGCAAAATAGGATGGGATCACACCTAGTGTCAAACATTTTACAACTAAGCTATATTCTCCAGCCTTTAGATGGACTGATTGCCCCCTCTCCTTGTTTTTGAGACAGGCTCTCACTTTGTAGCCCAGGCTAGCCAGAAATTCATTATGTAGCCCAGATTATACTTGAGGCAATTCTCTTACTAAGCCTCCCAAGTATTGGGGTTGCAGGAATGAGTCATCATGTCTAACTTATATTTATTTTAAATATCTGAACATTCACTTTCCTATGTGTAAAAACAATCTTTTTTTGCTTGTTTGTAACAGGATCTTCCTGTAGCCTGGAAGTTACAGAGATCTGCCTGCCTTTGCCTCCAGTGCTGAGGTTAAAGGTGTATGCCACCATGCCCAGCTTGTGGAAGAACATTCCTGATGTATCTAAAATAAAATCTCATTTTGCATTTTATGTTTAATCCTATCCATTAGTTAAGTATAAATATATGCTTGTTATTGCAAAGAAAAAATGCTTCACAGTAAATGCTTACTGTGAAGACTAACAAAGACAATTACTAAGAACTTTCAAACAGTGAAATAGAGAAATAGGAACATTAACAGCATGGTGCCAAATGCCTATAAATTCCAACTTTCAGGTAAAAAAAAGGAATGAAGCCAGGTACGGTGGCACATGCCTGTAGTTCCAGCACTCCCGAGGCAGAGGCAGGCGGATCTCTGTGAGTTCAAGGGCAGCCTGGTCTACATAGTGAGTTCCAGGACAGCTGGGGCTACAGGGAGACTCTGTCTCAAAAGAACAAAAAAAGGCCGGGCGTGGTGGCGCATGCCTTTAATCCCAGCACTCGGGAGGCAGAGGCAGGCGGATCTCTGGGAGTTCGAGGCCAGCCTGGTCTCAATGGTGAATCCAAGACAGCTGGGGCTACAGGGAGACCACGTCTCCAAAAGACAAAAAAAAAAAAAAAAAAAAAAAAAAAAAAAAAAAAAGAATGTATTATGAATAAAACATGGGAGAAGACTTAAGCAAAAAAGACTGCTTTCAAGAAGCACAAACATCTGGATAATCTATGTATCATTTTAAAATTAATTATGGGCTAGTGAGATAGCTCATATAAAGATACTTGTCACCAAACCTAACAACCTGAGTTTGGTCCCACATGAGAAAGAACTAGGGGCTGGAGAGATGGCTCAGTGGTTAAGGGCACTGACTGCTCCTGCAAAGGACCCGGGTTCGATTCCCAGCACCCATATGGCAGGTATGATCCATCCTTAACTCCAGCTCCAGGGGAATCCGAAGCCCTCTTCTGAACTCTGTGGCATTGCATGACACGGGTGCACTCACATACATGCAGGCAATACACTCATACACATAAAATAAAAATAATAAAATATTTTTTAAAAAAAGGTGGGGGAGAGAAAGAACTAAATCCCACAAGTCATCCTCTGACTTCCACATGCCTGCTGTGGCTCATGCACATGCATATACACACATACAATCAATAAAATAAAATGTAATACCTTTTTTTTTTTTAAAGATGTAATCTCCTGGGAGTGGTGGCACACACCTTTAATGCCAGCACTTGAAAGGCAGAGGCAGGTGGATCTTGTGAGTTAAAGGATAGCCTGGTCTACATAGTGAGTTTCAGGCCAGCTGGGGTTATAGGTTACAGGGAGACCGTGTCTCAAAAAGACAAAAAAAGCTTCTCCAGAACAAGCTTTCTAAAGGACAAGCTACTAAAGCCAGAACTGCCAAATATTCAAATGCAACTGGTAAGAAAATGAAGAACACTCTCCAGGCTCAAGAGAAAGTCCAGCAGGGTGAGAAGTTTCTGTGGCAACTGAACAGAATTCACAGTCAGCCATTTGCAGTTGAAGCACTCCTTCCTACCAGGAACACACTTGTGACTGTGGCAATTCTCAAGATACTAGCTCTGACATGAGGAATACCTCTGTAGTGCCACTCAAGGGGAGCACACAGCTGGCTTGTGTTCTCTGTTTCTACTTGTCATATAAACAAGACAGTAGTGAAGAACAGGAAGTGTATGCAAGAAAGGAAAGTCTCTTGTAACACTCATTAAGAAAGTCTCCTGCCAGGCAGACTGACACACTTAAAATTCTAGCTACTGCTGGGGAGGCTGAGACAAGAGAGTTACAAGATCAGCATAAGTCAAGCCTGATCCTGTCTCAAAATCTGAAGATTTATTTTATTCATCTTTTAATGAATTCATTTTTATTTCATTGTACGAGCATTTTGCTTACATGTATGTAAATATACCTGTGCCATGCAATGTCCATGGAGGCCAGAAGAGGGTACTGGATTCCCTGGCACTGAAATTACAGATAGCTGTTAGGTGCCATGTGGGTGCTGAGAACAGAACCTGGGCCCTCTTAAAGAGCAGTCAGTGCTCTTAACTGCTGAGCCATCTCTTAAGTCTCCAATTATTTTATCTTTTTTCTTTTTTTTTTAATGTGTACGAGTGTTATGCCTGCATATAGGTAAGTGCACTGTGTCGTGCAATGCCAGCAGAGGACAGGGGATCCCCTGGAACTGGAGTTACAGTTGTTAGCTGCCACGTGGGTGCTGGAATTCAAACTCGGGTCTTCTGCAAGAATAGTCAGTGTTCTTAGCCACTGAGTCATCTCTCTAGCCCCTATTTTATCTTTTTTTTATTTTTTTGGTTTTTTTGAGACAGGGTAGCTCCAGCTGCCTAGAACTCGCTCTGTAGACCAGGCTGGCCTTGAACTCACAGAGATTCGCCTGTCTCTGCCTCCCAAGTGCTGGGATTAAAGGTGTGTGCCACCACACCCGGCTTATTTTAACATTTTTAAATTTTGTGTGTGTGAATCTGTGCAAGTAAGTGCAGTGACCATGGTGGCCAGAAGAGGGTGTTGGCCCACCTGGAGTTGGAGTCACAGGTGGTTCTGAGCCACCTAATGTGGGTGCTGGGAAGCAAACTTAGATCCTCTAAAATAACAGCAAGCACTCTTAACCACTAAGCCATCTCTCCAGTGTATAGTGCTTGCCCAGTATTCAGGATTCCCTTGTTCAATCTTAATTAGAAGAGAAAAGATTTCCCAGTAAACCTCTCTCTCTTAACCTCTCTCTCTTTACCAGCTACTACCACAGATTCTCAGGGAGCAAGGAATTAACAAAACAAAACAAAAACTATCCCTGGAAGGAGCCTTAGGGCTTATCCAACCTAACTAAGTTTCTCATTTCATGCCTGACAGAATTCATACAGAAAATAAGCAAATACATATACAAAGTCACACGGACACAAGAGCCTACAACTCAGACTCTTTAGATATTATTTTCAAATTAATCATGTGTGTGTGTGTGTGTGTGTGTGTGAGAGAGAGAGAGAGAGAGAGAGAGAGAGAAAATGTAAAGGTCAGAGTGCTTCACCTTCCACCTTAAGATAGGATTTCTGTTGTCTGCTCCTTGGGTGCCAGGCTAGCTGTCAACTGGAAGAAAACTGAACGTATTCTAGACTTTCCTGAGTTAAACATCATATACCCAAGGTCTTTTCACTAGTTAACTGTCTTAGACATTAGCCTTGCTCATACTGACACATTTCTCCCTACCAGCCTACCACCAGGTTTCTCTGTCTTCAGAGACATTCTTAGAGCATGTAAACCTTGACTCTTGAGAACTGAAAACCAATGGTCTATCCCAAAGGGGTTGAAGTTAGAAGGCACCTGGTACCACTTCCAATTCCCTTCAAATATATTCATATAAATTCAACTGCAGGATAAAATAAAACTCAAGACAGATATGGCTGTCATATGCCTGTAATCCTAGCACTTAGGAGGTAGGAGGCCAGAGAACCATGATTTCAAGGTCATCTTAGTTCACAGAGTAATTTCAAAGTCAGTCTGGGCTACATGAGACTAGAAACAAAGAAAGAAAGGAAGGGAGAGGGAACAAACAACATAGAGGGAAATCCTGATCCCTAGTCACTATGTTGATGAACACCTGTAGCACTTGGGAGACTGCAACAGGAGGGTCTCATCACTTGCCAAGTTCAAGGCTAGCCTGGATTACACACAACCTATCTCAACAACAACAAAAATCTCTAAGACAAGGTGAAGCAGGGTGATACGCACGTGATAGGAAAATTTACAATCGTCGGGTTCTTCTCCACAAAGAAATTGTTCTTAGTAAATCTCTTGATGCAAAAGATTAGATATGGAGGCAGCTTGGTGAGCTGGAAGCGTTTCAGAAAGTTCTCCTTGTAAGTCTTATATTCCTAGGACATCAATTTATCAAATTAGTGCCAGGTTCCAAAGGTACCAGAGCAGAGTTTGAGTTTCATTTTGTTTTTTAAACATAACTACCTCATACCTAGACCTTAGCAGGCACCTGGTCCCAGAAATCCCATGAGAGTAGCAATTTGGTGGATACTGATTAAAATACCTTGATTATGGGCTATTTCAGACAGCATATGATAACACTGTTGAAATACAACCACAATAATACGGGCTCAGGTATCCACAAAGAAAACAAAACTGTCAAATGAAAAAGATTTGTTAAAAGCTAAATTACTATCAGGCTAGTGGTACACACCTTTAGTCCCAGCACTTGGGAGGCAGAGGCAGGCAGATCTCTTTGAGTTCTAGGCTAGCCTAGTCTATATAACATAGTGAGACCCTGTTTCAAAAAAAAAAAAAGAGAAAAGAAAAGGGGAAAAAAGGAAAAGCATCTCCCCGTAACTGGGGTTACAGGGAGATCCTGTCTCAAAAAGATAAAAAAAAAGCTAAATTACCAGGCCAAGTTTGATAGCAACACCTTTGATCCCAGCACTCAGAAGACAGAAGCAGGTGGGGTTGGTATGTGTTTGAGGCCAACTTGGTCTATATGGCAAGTTACAGGCCAGGCAGGGCTACATAAAAAAAAGAAAAAATTTTGGGGCTGTGAGTAGTGATGCAAATGTTCAATCCCAGCACTTGAGAGGTGGAGGCAGGAGAATGAAGAGTTCAGGCTAACTTTGGCTACACAGCAAGATCAAGGCAACACTGGCTTTGTGAGACCTTATCTCAAAAAGCAAAACAAGCCAGGCGCACTCCTTTGATCCCAGCTCTTGGGAGGTAGAGGCAGGCGGATCTCTGTGAGTTCAAGGCCAGCCTGGTCTACATAGCAAGTTCCAGGCCAGTTGGGGCTACAGGGAGACCCTGTCTCAAAAAGACCAAAAAATAAAAATAAAAAAAAAATAAAAATCAAAACTAAACAAAATTTTTTTTTAAAGATGGAAGTATTTTTCTGTATTTGTGAGTTTCTAATTACCTAAGTAGCCCTCCTTTCTCTACAGCACCCCAAGACAGACAGAGGGGTAAGAGATACCTGAGACATGTAGAGGGGACTCTAAGAGTGGAAGCATCAGAGAGTCTTGGAGAATCAAAAAAGACAATACACTTTATAATAAGCACATCATATTTATGCGCTGATTCTCAAGTATAAGAAGGAAAAAAAAGGAGCTAGGATTGCAGCTCAGTTGTAGAGTACTTGCCTCCCTTTGTGAGGCCCTCAACACTGCAAAAAAAGTGGGGGGAACAGGGGAAGGGTAAGATGATGATAAAGCCAAGAAAATCAAGCCAGGCCTGGTTGCATACACTTTCAGCTCCCAGCACTCAAGAGGCAGGCAGATCTATGTGAGTTCAAGGCCAGCTTCGTCTACATAACATAGTGAGACCGTTTCAAAGAGAAAAGAAAGGAAAGGAAAGAGGAACGGAAAGATGAAAGAGATAAGGGAAAAGGAAAAGAAAGGGAAAGAGCTGGGGACAGGGAAGAAGAGGGGAAGAGGTAGCAGAGGGAGAGGGAGAAAAGAAGAGGAGGGGAGGGGAGAGAAGAGGAGGGGAAAGGGGAGGGAGGGGAGGGGAAAGGGGAGAAGAAAGGAAAGGGATAGGAAAGGAAAACTGGGGTGGGTGGAGAGATGGCTTGGTGGTTAAGAGCACTGGCTGCTTTTCCAGAGGACCCAAGTTCAGTTCCCAGCACCCACACAGCACCTAACAACCATCTTAACTCAGGTTCCAGGGGATCCAATACCCTCTTCTGACCTCTGGGCATCACATAACATCGCAAGTATGTACACTTACATACATGCAGGCAAAACACTCATACACATTTAAAAAAACCTAATAAATAATTAAAAAAAAAGAAAGAAAGAAAATCCAAAGAACAAGGAGAGGTATTAGCACTCATACACTTTTAAAAAACCTAATAAATAATTTAAAAAAAAAAAAAAAAGAAAGAAAATCCAAAGAACAGGGAGAGGTATTAGCAGGAAGGCGTGCAATCTGACTACCTTCTCGGTGATGCCGTTGAACTTGGCCAGGATGTTGAAGAGTGGCACCTGGGGGATGATGAGCTGCTCCTTCTCATCCTTATAGAGGGGGGCAGTGGGAAGGTCCAGTGTGAGGTACATGAATGTTGACTCCACCATCGTCTCCTGGTACTCATCATTATGGAGTAGCTGCTCTTTCTCTTCTGCCGGCTAGAAATGAGAAGAGGAGGAAAGGAGCATAAGCAAACCCCAGCAGGAAAATGGTGCTTGTTAAACATGTTCCCTTCATCTTCAAAGAGAGGTGTCCAGAGCCTAGGCAGTTCTGCACTCTGCCCCACCACCTGATAAACTCATTAAAGACCTGATGGACGAGTATGTGTGTGTGCAGGTATACGTGCACACAGGTTAAGAAACTAGAAAGGGAATCATGAAAGAGGGAGAAATCTTAAAGAGGGAAAAAGAGAGGGTAATAGAAGACATGTGACATGAAAACAAAAGAAGGAATTGTTTGTGGAGAGGAAACCTTTTGGGGGGGCACTAGGGGAGGGCAACAGAAGAGGGGGATGAATTAGAACCAAGTATAATGACACATATATGAAAATGCCACAATGAAACCCACTACTCTGTAGGCTAGCTTTTAAAAAAAGAACTAATGGCTCCTGAGAGATTTTACACCCAAACAAAGCTCTCAGACTACACAGAAAGCCTGACTGAACTTTCTGGAAAAACACACCAGCACCACTCAGTAGCCAGACCGCCTCAACTAGCTAACCAACCACAAAACACCAAGCTTACAGGCTGCCGCTAAAGGAACCTAGACTATCACTCAGCAACTGCACTATGAAATCCCTTTGTGGGGTACATTCTGTCCATTCTCTGAGCATCTCTTTGTTTCTCCCAAGTCCCCTCGGATAACATACATCAAGTCAAGACTTAGTTCTGCCCACTCACCAGATCAGGATGGGGAAGCTTCTTAGTGAAGATTCTCATGGAGCCCTGGAAAACATCAGTCACAATAGCTGCACAGAAAGCAAAACGCAGTCAGTGAGGCTAGAAAGCATAGCAGAGACACACTCTCAACTTCTAAATTTCTGGAATAACCAGCATCCTCTTGCATAAGACCCAAAGCTCTCCCTAAGCAAGAAGTTTTTCTCTCTCTCTCTCTCTCTCTCTCTCTCTCTCTCTCTCACACACACACACACACACACACACACACACACACACACTCTCTCTCACTCTTTTTGAGACAGGGTTTTCCTGTAACCACAGCTGGTCTGGAACTCTCTATGGAGACAGGATGGCCTCTATCTCATAGAGATCCACCCACCTCTGCCTCCTGAGTGGGAGTAAAGGTGTGTGCCCAAGGCAGAAGTTTCTCTTTCCAACATTTGTCACTATGGCACCTGTGTAAATACTTATATCTCCTCCACAGAATACATTTGATGCTCTGACACTGGGCTTGGTTATGGGGGGGGGGGGATGTATAATTTAAAACGAGTGAATGAAAAATAAATAAAATGAGTGACTTACACAGCCTACAGACACAGAAATCGTTAAAAGAGAAAAATCAGTCAAAACTGAGCACAGAGCCATGTGTTGTGGCTCACACCTATAATCTTAGCACTTGGGAAATGGAGGCAGGAGGATCAGGAGTTCAAGGGAAGCCTTGGATATATGAGAACCTGCCAAAAAAAAAATAAAAAATACACACCTCCCTCTGCTTCCCTGGGCCTGCACGACCCAACCCACCTCTTTCCAGGTAAGTCAATCGCACTGCATGCCTTCCTCCCCCAGCCTCATTCACTCTCCCATCTCCCCCGCCGCCGGTCTCTCCTCCTAGCCTGGGTCCTGTCCCATTCCTTGTCTTGGCAACCCAGACACAGGGGAAACCACCACTGCTTCCTGATCCTTTGCATCCAGACCAACCCATTTCCTTCTCCTGGTCCCAAGGAGCCCTCTGGGCCTTGGTCCCACCCTCACCTCCCTCTGCTTCCCTGGGCTGCACGCCACAGCTGACCTTTTGGCTTCCTGAGCCTCTGCATCCAGACCAACCCAGTTCATCAGTGCAGTCCCCAGGAGCCCTTGGGGCCTCTTCCCACCCCCACCTCCCTTTGCATATCTGGGTGGCAAGGCCACTAGCTGCCCTAGACCAGCAACTTTCCTGCACACTGCTCCAGGGCCAGTCCAACCCCCAAATTCCTGAGGCCAAAATCTTTCCTGGAGGGATCCAGACCTTAGGAGAAAGCCTGAAAGCATATGATCTTCATCTCACTTGGACTTCTGGGGGAACTCCTGAAGATAAAAGCAATCTGGCCCCTCCAATATAAAATCAAGAGAGAACCGGAAGCTTAGATGAACTAGCTTTTCATGCCCCCAAAATAAACCACAAAGACACATAAAGTTCACAAAAAGAAGCAGACCTAAACTTGAAGGTTTGAGTCTCACACAAGAATCAGAAACTATGAAAGAAATTCACATGTCAAAATCACGGATAAAAAATAATAACATGAAAAACCAAAATAACATATCCTCACCAAATACCAATAGTCCTCTAGAGGAGTACAGTGACAACCCCCTAGAGATAATGCAGGACATGGAACTCAAAAGAACCATTATAAACATGATAAAAGAATTCAGCAGAATTTAAAGAACACACAAAGAAATCAAAGAACTGAAGGAAGATAGGGATAAACTTCTGAATGAATTCAGAAAAGAGTTAGAAATATTG